TTGCCTAGCCTGGCGCCAAATCTACCCTGTGTGTTTGAACAAGCTGGCCTCAGGACGTAATTTAACTTCACTGCTAGTCGAGGGAATGAAGGTAACACTCTAAGGAGTTACGACGCATACATGATCTTAAAGGTAAGTCAATTGCTAAGTTTCAGTCACTCAAGTAATAAGCAAGAGATTAACGACAGCCTCGAGTTGTTGGCCTAATTTTAGCTCGCCGTCATGGTGGGTTCATTCACTTCCACAATTTCACTTTTCAGTCTAACCAACTCCACAGGAGACCTCAAACTGCACACGAGACTTCAAAGGGCACAAAGTGGGCCTACATTCGGTTCCGACTTCGGGTTTATACTTCAAGTTGGTACAACAAAACCTAAATCTAATTTAAAGTCCACTAAAATTTTGCCGAGTTAGAACTTACGTACGTCACACCAATAGCGCCGGTACGTCTTTGGTCAAAACATCACATAACATAGACCTAGACTCGCCGTTTGAGGGCGCTGTGCGCACCGTACGAATGCATTTTTTCGTATGAGGATTTCGTGTGATGGGAGACCACAGACATTATGTCTGTGTGGTAGACTGGTAACAACGGGGGAAGATTAAGTTATCCTGTCGTGCACTAAGGGAAACTTTAATTCATTTTAGAACAGGGCGTCTCTAAACAGATTTTTGGGTTTAAACTTTGTTTTTATAAGGACTTGACCCTCTAAGTCAGAGGTACAGTCCTTTTTTGAGCATAGTGTTCCTTTAAGGCCACAAAATTATAAGAAATCTAAAAGAACGAAGAGCAAACTTTACGAAAGCGCAGAATTATCTTTTGAATTATACATGAAGAAGCTGTACTGTAATTTATTGTAATTTTTCTTTCTTGTCTATTATATGTACTTTGCTTGAGAAATTATCTGATGAAAATAAATAAATATGACCGCGTGCGCGTGTCGTGTCAATGATCGGGCGCGCTTCTGATGGCAATTTTCCAAAAATGCGCCTTTGACGAATCGTTGGAAGTGGCCCTCTATCTCTCTCGTTTTTCAAAACGACAACTTGTCAAAATGAAAAATTTTAAGCATCATTACACCAAGTAGTATGGAAATGAGAGTTCTGGACCACACGCCCCTTTTTACCCGGTTTTTGCTCAAAACCCTTGGGTAGTACATCGACCCAAAAAATCGTCGAAACATTTTTGGTGGGAAAAAATGGGAAAATCCTGGAATGACGTGAACCCCGTTTTTGCTCAACACCCCTGGGTAGTACATCGACCCCAAAACCGGGGATTTCCACTCACCTTTTGACCGCGGCACCGCTCGCTCGCTCGCTGTAAACAACTTCGTGACTAGCGCCGGGGATTTCCACTCAATTTTTGACCCCGGCTGTAAACAACTCACGACAGAAATCCCGCCCGAATAAAAATGGAAAAAAAAATTAGAACCTATATAAAAATAGAGATATGAGCAACCAGCAAAACCGACCTCTACTAAGGAAATTCC